CCCCCCCCCCCCCCCGTCTGCCTGCAGCTCAGTGACCGCCCTGACTGCCCTAGCGCCACTGTCTTTAATCCATGCATCTTCCCCAAACTGCCATTACCTCCAGTTTTCTAATTTATCCCTCAGAGAAACCCTGAGAAATGCACTGCCGCTACCGTCCACCCTCGTAATAATATGGGGAATTCAGATCGCCCGATACCGCGCACTCAGCACTGCCTAATAAAATGTAAATTAATTTTTTGGGCAGTAAACATACAAGTTTGTATATTATTACACATCATTTCTAGTCCAACACTGAAGCTCGCATGTTCCACTTTTACGTCCTAATTCCTTAAGTTTTAGCAACCCGCCTTAGTTTAGCTTCTGATGTATTAGCCTCAATAAGTCTATACATGCTCTCTCCAGGTCACTGCCGAACGTACCCTGGTAACCTATCATATTGTCTAGGGTAGGCGATGTAGCTCGGAGGCGACCTCCCTAGAAATCGTTAGCTGGAGTACGACTCTCGCTACAGTCCCAGGCATACTTAGATAAGTACCAGGACTTCCGCAGGCAGTACCCTGGAGAGAGCAATAGACAGCCTCTGCAGCCTTAGCTTAGCAAATAGCCAAATGATATTGCGACAGCTCTAATATCCTAACAACAATCATCGGCCATTGTCACATAACTTACAAGCACAAAACGGCCAACTGTCCTCTGAGAGATCCAGAGCCTGAGTAGGCCTAACCACGACACTTGAAGCTCATTTCTATAAATATAATCCATAAATAAATACGAAATCTAATACTAGTACTACAAAATTTCTTAATGTTTCTAGGAAGTGAGTCTAAACAACCGGATCCGGTTCGGTATCCTCGAAACTAACCCAACCGCTCCTTCTCTGAGTGAATAATTTTTCACTATTTTATTTTTTTATCTATTATTATGGCTTAATGTTTTTTATCCCTATTTCTAGTGAATTTAGGCGATAGGAGTTATGGTTACGCTGTAGGATGTAGTTAGCAGTATAGGTATACCGGCCCACCCCACCCGGTTACTATAATTCACCCATTTTCAAATATTCCGTACCGAGTTCAGACTCAGCCATCGCATGTAGAGGCTCTTCGCTTTCAGACTTCATAGCTAACGACCGTGTTTTCAACGCCCATAGGAATAGTTTTCATTTTCCTCTGCTTTGTGTATTTCTTTGTATCTTTATTTGTGTCTGCATTTATTTGTTCGTACACTTTTTTTATTGTTCGGATATTAAAGATATTTCTTCATATGTGTTTGCATTAACATTTCTAATTATACATTTCCTGTTTAGTGTTATTCTCAAAACTGCTACCAATCAGAGAAGAGAGCCGGTTGTTTATTTTACAAGACTCCGAAACCGGGTCCGCGTTCTAACACGCCATAATAAAATTTATGAGTTAATAAATAGATATCAACTTTCTAGTACTAAAGACATTCACAGCATCCAGTACCAGTAATAGCTGAATGCTTGATTTAAACGATTGATACTAAACAAGTTAATCGTAACCAACAGGCAAGTTGACCTCCGTAAAACAAACTTCACTTCAATACCGTCCAAACACACCCATGCGAACACATAGCCGCATTTTGCAATGTCACAAATACACAGTAAGGTTATACAGCCTAACCTCTGCCCAAACTCTGTATTATTTGGCTATCCTCACCATAACCATCGCCCAGCTCTATCTCTGTTCTATTGTATGGCTAGAGAGTCTATGTCCCACGGCGTACTGCGTGAACGTACCCTGGGTACGGTCCGGCTATACCGATAACGATACCCAGTCTATCTAATATGCCGGACCGTACCTTCCCCTACTCCACATACACCAAGCTCTTAGTGAGTCGCTAAGCCTACTCCCTAACCATCAATCCTAAACCATATCAAATAGTGACAGGTTCAACGTACTCGCATGCCATATACCGGACCATAACCCAGGTACGTTCCGCAATAGATCCGTATTATTCTTCCCATTAATAACTTTATATTTTGGCGTGAGTGTTATATGATGACAGACGGTTCATTTAAATTTCGTGAACGCATCAAAATGCATGCCGCTTGAGAATCGGCTCCGTACGCCCGCTTATTGGCATCGAAAAAAAACACCTACGCGAAAAAAAACTTACAATCGCCATTTACTAACAATCAGACAATCACAGCGAGTCGTCAGCCTCGCAGCGCACAATTACAAGCGGAACAAGGGCTATTTGTAGAGACTCGACCCCGCCTGATTGCGTCTTGCATTATTGTAAATAGAGATGCCGAATTAGAAAGATCTTGAACGAACGCGGGTTATGAAAACAATCTTGAAGAAGAGAATATCGAAGAGAAGTAATGCTACCTACACATATCAGTAGCAGCGACAAGCATGTAGAATGGAAACGCGTAGTTTTTATCCCGCCAAATAGCGGCGTACGGGACCGCATTCTCAGCGCATGCATTTTATGCTACAGGATCTCACGAAATTTCAATGAACCTCCGTCTGCTGACTTCTGCTCTCACAATTATAATGTCCTCACAAGATATAAAAAAGTTAATATGGGACAAATTATCGGTTCTCTGAGTTCGGGGCAGATACTCTAGCCGACATAGAACACCATATGACGCCATATGTATGTGAATCAAGCGGTCGTATTGGACGCATGAATGTGAATTGTTAGTCAAATCAACAACATTAATAGACCTATTACTGATTAGTGTGCTAACTCCTATCTGTTAGTGTAGTCTATACTCAGTTACTGACAAGTTGTATTTATTAAAACCATCATTTTATTATTGAAACGGCCCAAGTGCCTGTGGTTTCTTGGAGCTATACCGGCGGGGGCCATATTTATGATATTATGGGTTCAAGCATAGAGAACATGGTTCCCAATAACTTTGATCAAGTTTTGAATCGCCAATATAGTAGGTGGTGAAGAAAATATCATTGCAACAAAACATACTACGACTAACCTATTTTGTGTCCACCTTGCTGCGAGTAATCGAAACTTGACATAAAACCCCAATTGAGATTTTTTTTGAAAAAGTGGTTCTGTGCACTACTTTAGCAACTGCGCATGTGTAATGACCTGCGAATCTGCCTGTGTCTCTGCCAACCACAACCCAGAGCGTATTGAAACGTATCGGTTCGTCTCTGTGTACAAGTTTGTAAACGTATACCATTGACGTATACCTACATGTTTGCACCACTGATCTCTATAATAAAATCATTATTATGAATCAAAACAAAATAAAAAAATTATTATTATAGAGATCAGTGGTTTGCACATATCAATGGCTGTATCTAATAGTATCCCCAATGTATTGAAGGAGTCTGCTATGTACTAATACCCTCATTCTCAACTTGGCAAATCGAATGCAGGTACACCTAAAAAATTATGATATTAGCATCTCGCCAACATCATAGATTACCAACACCTAGATCTGGGGCTAATCCAGCTATCATTGTGAAATTTGTGAGGCGTGATGCTAGAGACCTGTTCTACACTGGCAGAAAAAATACAGGAACAGCAAGAGGCTTCTAGGTTTCACTTAAGCAGGGTCAATCTATATCAATGAGAGCCTGACCAAATCAAACAGATCCCTGTAATATCATGCACGACAGTGCAAGTATACCCTACAATATAAATATGTATGGACTCGTAATGGCCTTATTTGCATGAAAAAAAAACAGATGCTTCTGAAACAGTCCACATTAAATCAATAGAGGATTTATCCAAACTCGGCTACACGCAAGCACAAGTCCGTAATTAAAATGTTAAAATAGCCTTGCGTTGCCTTGAGTTTCTATAATAGTGCGCTTCCCATGTGTTAAATGATATGTAACTATGTTTATGATCCTTTGTAACTATGTTTATGAACTTGGGCTGTACATATAATGAGTATGTACTATTTCGTATAATTTTTTTTTTTTCTTATCTTATTCACACTGTATAAATACGTTTAATGCTCAAATCAAAATCAACTTGAACCTTGCATCCTACGTACACCAACGAAGTGTTATATTTGTCGATTCTTGTATACCTAGATAGATCTTATTGATTATAGCTTTATTAACTCATAGTCATATGATTCAGCTGCCCGTTTATATACTAATATTTTTGTTTTTTAGGGGTGGCAGACTTTGATGACCTGAGGGTCTTTCGCCACACCAGTGCTATATCTATCACATTATGTATTGTAACCTTTCATTCTAATATGTATCGTTGTATACTGAATGTAAATATGTCTTGTGCACACATAAATTATTTGAATCTTGAATCTTGAATCTGCCCCTTTATGTGATAATTTGTTACTGAACGAAAAAAGAAAGACAATATCGCGTAAACTATGTCATTAGAAAAGCATTTATTTTACTATACAGTAAATAAGATAAACAGCCTACAATAAATTACAAAAAGTATTGACATAACAGAAACTACCAATAACGGCAAAGGATCTGTCATTAACAATAAAAATGAGACAATTTTTGAATAATTATGTTTGTTTGTGCCCGTATCATTGTAAAATTAGTGACACTATATAAATATCAGGAACATGCTGCATTGGTAGACGCTTACTTATTTTGGTATCCGTTTTAGTGATATCCACTACTATAGCCATAAGAATAAACTCTACGATATGGGCCATAGGGACCATAGCCTCCATGACCTCCATAACCGCCATAGCCTCCACGTCCGTAGCCACCGTAACCGCCATAGCCTCCACGTCCGTAGCCACCGTAACCGCCATAGCCTCCACGTCCGTAGCCACCGTAACCGCCATAGCCTCCACGTCCGTAGCCACCGTAGCCTCCATAACCACCATAGCCTCCAATACCTCCATAGCCACCATAGCCTCCATGACCTCCATAGCCACCATAGCCTCCATGACCTCCATAGCCTCCATATCCTCCACGACCAATGCCGCCATAGCCGCCATGGCCATAGCCTCCATAGCCTCCACCGCCATAGCCTCCATAGCCTCCACCGCCATAACCTCCATAACCTCCATAACCTCCATAGCCGCCACCTCCGTAACCTCCATATCCATGGTAGCTCGTCCCATAACTCCGGACGTGCCCACTATATCCAATTGGGCCAAAGCTGTAGCCACCATATCCACCAGGGTATCGATAATACCTGTGCGACCCGTAACCACCGCCTGAACCCAGGATGGGTGAGGCTAACGCCACCTGAAAAAGCAAAATATTTGCAATTGCTATCTTGAACACGCGCACGCAGAGAGAGAGATAGATAGATAGCTAGATGGATGGATGGGTGGATGGATAAATAAAGAGAGCTAGATGGATGGATGGGTGGATGGATAAATAAAGAGAGAGAAAGAAAGAAAGAGAGAGAGAGAAAGAGAGCTAGAGAGAGAGAGAGAGAGAGAGAGAGAGAGAGAAAGCGCGAAGGGGAGGGGAGCACGAACAAGATAGACGTTTAGATGGATAAATGTATAAGTGAACGGGTGCATGGGCTTGTGGGTCGATGGATATAGATATGGATGGATGGATAGATGGATGGATGGATGGATAGATAGATAGATAGTTAGACGGATGAAAAGATGGATGGATGGATAGATGGATGGATAGATGGATGGATGGATGGATTGATGTAGGTGGATGGATGAGAGAAAAGAAAGGGAGGGAGAAATAGCAAGGTAGACAGCACGTGACCACGTATTAATTATTATTAATAATAATAGTAGTAGTAGTAGTAGCAGGCCCTAGTAGTATAAATACAATAAAAAATGTTGTCATAAATGACGGCATGAATTACAGTTTCCTACGCAACGAAATCGCGCGGAACGGAAATTCATTAAAATATGCTGTCGAACTATTCAGAACACTGAACCAATGTCAGCAGTGTGTGGCAGAGAGAGAGAGAGAGAGAGAGAGAGAGAGAGAGAGAGAGAGAGAGAGAGAGAGAGAGAGAGTGAGAAATATGGCCCAACAGTATGCCTCAGATTGGAGGAAAATGGCTTAAATATTTCAACAATTTTCTGGTTGGGCATGCACGCCGCCGCCCCCCGACCCCCTAGCACTGGCATGGCCTACGGCACCGCGGGCTGCCTGCGGCAGCCAAGGTTAATTTCGCCCCCGGCTATCGCCGATCATCCCCCCAACTTCTCGGTACCGAATTTACGCCCGGCTGGTAGCACGGGACCGTGGCGAGACACGGTTTAGTAAAGCGACATTTGTCGTAATGTTTATTACTGTAGCGGGTCGGTTGATGAGCTGTGAAGGTTCTTGTTTAGCGGGTTGTGTCTCAGTAGCGTCATTATATAGAAACCCGGTGGGAGAGAGCCAACGTTACGGCTCAATCGAAAATTGGTCAGTCAGAAGACAAAATGCTTAAGCAAATGACCGATCCTTAGGTGTACGTGGACTATGTTGCAT